CACGATAGGCCTGCGCAATACCGCGGAAACGACAATATAATATGACAGACGTATCAGAGTCCCATAGTGTAACTGGCCCCTTCAGTGCGCGTTGATTGGATTGGATATCGATTCGTTCGTAAATTTTACACTCAGCGTCGGTGTGGCATTACAACGTAGGGTATACATGCAGACAACAACAAAAATAAAGTATCAAGGTGATTTTGAGCATGACGAAGAGTGCATTATCAGTTTTAGAGCATACAAGACAGCGTATACAGCCAAATAATTGCATCGAAGCGTCCATTGTCACCATATGCACAACCACAGATTGTGGCCGGCCCGAGCCACCAACAGTAGTCTTTGGGGGAAACGTGAAATACTAAATAGCTATATCTGTCTCTTGTATCTGCGAGCTCCGTTCCCATGACCAAATGAGTGTGCGTCTCATAATCATATGGTGGTTTTGGGACGTTAAACCCCACATATCAATCAATCAAACCAAATGAGTGAAATAATAATGTGAACATAAAATATGCTTTCCGTAGTCTAGATGTGCCACTTAAACCACGAATGTCGTGAAAGAACTTCAGCCGCAATATCTAACCTTCTCTTGAAGCAGCTCCCGCCCCAATCTCTGTATTCTGTACCAACGAACTGCGAACCACAACATCAAAGGATTTTGAGAAGTCAATAAACGCAGAATCTATACATTTATATAACTTTCTCGATCACACGATTCGCACACATGTGAAGAATTCGCACACATGTGAAGAAATTCGGTTTATTGCGTGCCGCAGTATGCATGCCTCAAAACAATGTGGTTTGGGTTTATTCAGTGCATACTTGTTGATGTACTTTATTGTGCGAGTGTAAAATATGTACTAAAGTGTTTATTTGGGCGAGTTGGTACACAATATATGAGGTGAAAAACAGCGTGAAAACACAAGACAGTGAAAGAGACGGACGAAGCGCTGACTTACAACTAAGGTTCTATTCTATACATGGCTGTATGTATAGCACACACAACATGAAAGGATGGAGAGGATAACAGTGACACGAAATTTCTAATGAGATGATTTATGCGCCTCGAAAAATGCCCTCATCTCCCCCCAAAAAATTTTGAGGAAATGTCGAATGCTTTGCTGACGTCAGATCCGGTCTGTAAGGCTAAGACATGTGACCTTCATCAATGCGCAAATGTTATTTTAAACGTACCGCTTTCGTAACACTGTGGCGAATTGACGCTAACATCCCACATCCTGTTTCTCTGGTTAGCGAGCTGAGCGTCTGACAGGCACGCGCGCTCACCAATCTATCGACGAACTCCTTTGTATATGACGCTCGACGACGTACCATCTGCAGACGTCGGGCCTCACAGAGCGCTCATATCGGACGCTGGTAAACACGTCTCCAGTGTACGTTGCATAAAACTACAAGAACTGGGACGGCGTCTTACCGCACATCGCGTACGCCTTTTATGCTGCCTAACATGACACCACTGGCTGCAGCACTTTCTTTCACCTTTACGGTCGATCCGCATGGCATACACTGAATGCCATTTGTTGTTTTTTTTGTTTTTTTCCTGACCATGACGATTCTTCTTTAGCCAAAACTGCCGAACGTCTCACGCAAGAAGCTCGCTGTTTTGCCCGCTTGCGTACAACGGCCTCGTAAGGCTGAGCAAAAGCCCTTTAGTATAGCAAGCATCAGTACGACACTTGTGATCCGGGAGACTTCGTGTGGATATGGCAGCCTTTGTGCAAGCGTGGCTCGTGCTAAATAAAGACTACTTGGCCGATTTACCGAGCCATGCGTTGTGCTTGGCCATCTAGGTGCAGTGGACTATCGCATAGCGCGCCTCGCTATTAGTGGAAGACTCTCTGCCAATATAGAGAGGTCACGTATGTGACCAGCCTGAAACCCTTCGATCGGCGAGGCGTTGACTGAAGCGCGCACCGTCTTCTTCTTTTCTTCTTCTTCTTCTTCTTCTTCTTCTTCTTCTTCTTTCTTCTTCTTCTTCTTCTTCTTCTTCTTTCTTCTTCTTCTTCTTATATTTCTCTCTTTTCTTTTCTTTTTCTTTTCTTCTTCTTCTTCTTCTTCTATCTCTTTCTCTCTTTTTCTTCTTTCTTCTTCTTTTTCTTCTCTTCTTCTTCTCTTCTTCTTCTTCTTCTCTTCTTCTTCTTCTTATTCTTCTTCTTTTTCTTCTTCTTATTCTTCTTCTTCTTCTTCTATTTCTCTTCTTTTTCTTCTTCTCTTCTTCTTTTTCTTCTCTTCTTCTTTTCTCTTCTTTCTTTTCTTCTTCTTTTTCTTCTTTTTCTTATTCTCTTCTTCTTCTTCTTCTCTTCTTCTTTTTCTTCTTCTTATTCTATCTTCTTCTTTTTCTTCTTTTCTCCTTCTATTTCTTCTCTTCTTCTTCTTCTTATTCTTCTTCTTCTTCTTTTTCTTCTTCTTCTTCTTCTTCTTCTTCTTCCTCTCTTTTCCTTTCCTTTTCTTTTTCTTCTTTTTTTTCTTCTTCTACTTTTCTTCTTCTTCTTTTTCTTATGCTTCTTTTTTCTTTTTCTTATGCTTCTTTATTCTTATTATTTTCTTTTTTCTTTTTCTTCTTATGAGAGAGAGTGTATTCTAGTCGTACGGGCCGCGGAAGAAGGAGTACAGAAGGTGGTAGAGGAAGACATCTCCACAGTCTTATTTTGTGTAAACTCACGATGAAAGCCTTCTGCAAATAAACGTCAAACGCCAACTTTTAATGTAAAAGCAAATTTATAGATCGATGCTTTCCGCTACTCTGATCTCCCTGTATCGTATATTTTTGTCATTTAATAAAACTACGCCAATCTCTCACCAGTGCAGTCAGTGACCATTTTATCCCTTTCGTTTGCTTTTATGTACAATAAATGCGGAGCATTTCTTAGCGAACCAAATAAATACACACATACATGGGCGGACGGATGAAAGGAAGCCCATTCATTCATTCGTTCGTTCGTTCGTTCTTCCAGCTATTAACATGTGGGAGTTCTCGGGGTCGTTTTGGAACGTTAAACTCCAACAATTATATTATTATTAGTTATCGTGGTCGTCTTCCTAACTTTATTATCATCATCTTCATCATCATGATTATGATCAGCCTGACTACGCCCACTGCAGGGCAAAGGCGTCTCCGATGTTCCACCAATCAACCAGCTCCTGTGCTTTCTTCTGTCACAATGTAACTACAAACTTCTGAATCTCATCGGCCCACCTGACTTTCTGTCTCCCCTCGCGTGTTTGCCTTCTCTTAGAACCAAGTCTCTTGCCTTTAATGACCAGTGGTTCTCCCGCCTATGTGCTAGCTGCCCGGCCCATGTTCATTTGTTCTTACTGATTTAAAATATAATATCCTTCACCGCCCTTTGTTCCCTAAACCAGTCTGCTCTCTTCCTGTCTCTTAAAGTTACACCTATCATTTTCCTTTCCATCGCTCGCTGCTTCGTCCTCAAGTTAAGTTGAACCCTCTTTGTAAGCCTCCAGCTTTTTGCTCCGTAGATAAGTAACGGCAAGATGTAGATGTTTTATACATTCCTTTTGAAGGATAGCGAAGAATAAAAATCAGGATCTCAGCAGGAATCAAAGACATTCTGCATGGCAGTCAAATATGTATTCTACCAAATATCCAAGCCAGATCTTGAAACTTTATTGGAAAAAGATCCTATGCACACGGCATGCACGTGCGACATCAATTGTGATTGCAATGCTGGATAAATAATTTTGTAACAAGGCAATAAACGTATTACGTGTACAACTATAGGACGCAGGTCATGGTAGAGTCCATGATACAGGTCATAACAGATGTATAGCGTCTATTGTGGTTCCAGTGTTGGCTCTGCTTTTGTAACAGTGTACAATAAATACTACATGTGAACTTCCAAGACTCTAGAAGCTAGCTTTGCTGGACCCCGCAGGAATGCACTACTGAATGATACGTATGATATTCACATCGTCGTATTGTAGAGTCAATTCGTTTCGAAAAAAAAAAACAGACGCCTATGCTCAGATTACTGGCGTCACGTAAGACCATAAGTTACCTTTTAAATTCCAGTGTAGGGGGAGGGAGGTTGACTTGCCTGGTAAGTCTGCAATGTGCATACAACCACTCAATTTGTGAAAATATGTTGATCCACCACGCTTTCACTCAACCCAAAAAAACAATTGCAGCTAAAGTGCTGGCGGGTTCGCATGAATCTGATACCACCAATGCGTGGTACTTTCTTTTTTTATCTACTTTCCTACTTTAATGAAGAGCAAATTTTGCCTGTGTGCAGTGCTTTCGGTGAAGCACTGCACACAGTACGTAAGGCATACGTCAGACGACGCCTACCATAATAGCACGCATCCGCTGACTGTTGCGGCAGCAGTGGGTGTCGGTACGTACTATGAATCGCTCTTCACCCGCCAATTGCGATGAAAGTTTTCTTGAAATATTGAGTACGTGAAAATTAGAATTAAAAATGAATCTGCTGTTTTCAGTAGCCTGGGCTAATGATGTGCAACTGCTAACTAGTATTTTTTGTTTCATTTTATTGCACATGAAGTCGCCGAGACCGAAAATGGCGACTCGTGCTTAACAGCAGAGCACTATCCTTTGCGCTACTGTGGTATGTAACGACACGCCTGACAAAATGGCGCCGCCCCGTGCCTCATTGTTTAAGTTTTTTGCGGAGGTCGCTTCAAAAATATTTAAATTTGTGTGTTCGCAAATCACAAAAATCATTTCGAGACATTTGAACCCTATATTAGAGGCGTAGCTGGTGTGTGTGTGTGTGTGTGTGTGTGTGTGTGTGTGTGTGTGTGTGTGTGTGTGTGTGTGTGTGTGTGTGTGTGTGTGTGTGTGTGTGTGTGTGTGTGTGTGTGTGTGTGTGTGTGTGTGTGTGTGTGTGTGTGTGGTGAGAGAGAGAGAGAGAGAGAACCTCTCTTCCATGTAGTCGAGGACTGTCTGGATGTCATTTCCCTCACGCCTTCGTTACTCCTCTCCCCTCACGCAGGAGCTTGCGTACACAGTGACGGCTGTCGTCCTCTACATCATCGCATCCGTAACACAGCTGGTGTCACAGTCAAGCTACTACGAAACTTGGCCCACTATGTTCAGTGCTCTCAACGGCCAATACATCGCTGCTGGCGTAAGTATACTGCTTTTGTGCGTTCAACGTTTTCTTTTTTCGCCACTCACATCAAAGGTTCTCTTCGCAAAGGATATATTTGTTTAGTTACGGTGTATTTAAATGAAGAAGCGCAAGAGTGCGAAGCCTATGACACTTCGTTACGGACACAAGACAAATTAAACTATGTAGCCACACACTTTATGATATTCAAAACTGTCAATACTCGCGAGATGAAGAATCACAATGAACACTCCCGGCGCTGCCATGTGAAACCATCGGAGTCCTGCGGAGCAGAATTTCAGCCCCCGTAGAACTTGTCTCGCGCCCACAAACCACGTCCACATATTAATACGTTTCTTTCTTATTTTCTCGGTGTGTCAGCAATGAGTCCGAAATTGACTCAGAACAGACTATTCGAATGAAAAGAAAAACATGTGCGCCAGAAAACGTGAGCGCAAGAAACATAAAATGTCGAGTACAATGTTGCATCTAAGGATTGACTAAGGTGCATTTTCTTATTATAAAGTAACAACAACAGTGACGACACGCGCCTAGACATTTTCTTTTTTGCTCCATTCTTTGATGACGCCTCTAGAGCGCACATGCGTTCGCTGTTCAGAGAAGTTGAAAAGAAATCATGATTGCCAGAGTACTGTGTAGTATTACTATACCGTCGTATGGGAAGCGTCATATGTGAACGCAAAAAGAAGCCCTCTTTTTAAAGACGATAGTCTTTCTTGACGATAGACCTTCGATAGACGATATACCTTCGATAGACGATAGACCTTCGACGCCAAAATGTTGGTCTGTCTGTCTGTATTTGCGTTTGACTTTGATAAGTCAGTTCTATCGTATTGTCAATAACAGAGGCTGAAGCGGAATATTAAATTATTATTATTATTAATATTATTGTTGTTGTTGTTGTTGTTGTTGTTGTTGTTGTTGTTGTTGTTGTTGTTGTTGTTGTTGTTGTTGTTGTTGTTGTTGTTGTTGCCAGTGTTCCTAAAGAGAGGTAGAAATAGAAAGGAAAGGCAAGGAGGTTAATCAAGCTTTGCTCGGCTGGCTACTCTACACTAAGGGTGGGTGAAAAGGGGAATCAGATAAAGGAAAGATATAAAGAAGAAGAAGAAGAAGAAGAAGAAGAAGAAGAAGAAGAAGAAGAAGAAGAAGAAGAAGAAGAAGAAGAAGAGAAGAAGAAGAAGAAGAAGAAGAAGAAGGAAGAGGAGGAGGAGGAGGAGGAGGAAAGAAAAAAATAGCAAAATAGTCCACTCGAGACTATACAGCGCGGTCTCACGCTGTTCTTTCACAAGCGCTCGTGAAGTCCAGCAAGTCCTTAAGAAGCACAAGAGAGCTTTAGTGACTTTGTGCGTATGCGAGACCGTCGGCTGAGGTCCCAGACTCTTCTGTTGCATGCCGCGCTACTAGCCATTCCAATGAAACACGAATACGCATTCGTAAATGCCACGCGTCCAACCACATGCGACACAGCAAAGTTTTATCGCGTTGTGATAGCCTGCATGGCAAACGAAGTATGGGTTGATTGAATACAGCCGCACGTTGGAGAAACGTTACTTATTCTTTTGTACAATCGTGATACGGTGAGCAAGTGATTCTAGTCGCCGCGCAGCGTGTTTTCTCAGGAGGTAGGTGTACGGGCGTACGCAGGCCTTGGTCATGGGCCAATCCACCGACAATTCCGCAATGACTAGGCAACCAATGAAATACAATATCGTGTCCTTCCTCACGCTCTTGGTGGTAATCGTGCCTTATCTGGTATACTGATTGTTCGTGTAATCCGTGCCGTAAAGCAAGCCGTAGTGTCTGTAAGGCTGACTTCGAGTCACAAAAGATGGTCCTACAGAGGCATTTGTAGCGCTGTTCATGGGTAGCACAGCGAACCACGGACGCTCGTAGACTCAATATGTCTGCCTTTTCTGGCGTTAATTTTTCTCTCTCTGTCCAAAATTAGTTTGGTCGGGCTCTCTGAAAATGTTCATACGGGCATGTAGTAGATGCCGCGAACAATAATGCAGCCTAACTTCAAGGAGCTAAGTATGTTCAGTATGCAGTAAGTATACCCGAGTTCAACAGAGTGGTGGGCCTTGCGAGTAATATGGTCTAAAGTAGGCAACTATGTTAGTTTCCATGGCTGCGCACAAACCTGCTAGTGTTGACACAACACCGTCGCATACGCAGGTGTTCGGGCTGCTGCAAGCGATCGTCTACGGCGCTGGAGCGTTCCTGCTGTTCCAGGACTGGAAGGCAACAAGGCCGCCCCCACCACCCCCGCAGCCACCGCGCCCCACCAACTGAGCTGTGGATGCCTCTTGCCTCTACGGGACGCTTCCTCCCTGTTTTCGTTACTATATTTTTTCGCTCGCCCAGAACATAGACGAGTTCGGCCACGGCTGCCCACGCACTAACAGAGAAGACACAGCACTCACGAACCGCACACGACACTGCTTGCGGTTCCAATTACGAGCGCACCGTCTGACTGTATAGGCCGCCATCTTCATTACGCGAATATCCAGCGAGAGAGAGAAAAGAACATTATTTTGTGCGTTTTTTATATATATAGTTTGCAACTATATTCCTTGTAGTCATCTCGTTTATTGCGACCAGTCAAGTTCTCACTCGCGTTAAGTGTGCGTGGTGGTTACCCTCAACCGACACCTGGACATCCCATCCTTTTGTATCTTCGACGCTGTAAAACAAACTCACTGACACACTTGCGTACCGCCATTAGATTCTCAAAACAGGTTATTAAAAAACTGAGTGCTGTCTGAGTTTTTGTGAAGGTTGTGTTTTGCGCTAGCAATGGTGGGAGCAATTTTCGATGCATTCGAGGGCATTATAGTTCCGCGCAGTGGATCAAAAGAAGCGTATTCCATTGTGTGTGCGTGAGTCTAGCACTGCTTGCGAAGCGTCATACATTTAGCGTACTATAGAATAACATTTTAGTTCGCTACAGCTACGCCACAATCACTGGCATCCAAGTTGTAGGGACTCCTTCGTTCGGCAACTGTGCAGACCTCTTGCTGTGGCTTATTCTTTCCCGCGGCTATTGATGAGTACCTGGTTATGTTCATAAATTAATACTTTTGAGCTAGTTACCTCCCCCTCGCCTTTTTTTTGGGGGGGGGGAGGGGGCAGCAAAAACATGTCTGCAACTGAGCTGCCTTGAGCCATTCATCAACGTCAGAAGAGTTTAGATAGTGGCAATGTTCATCGCCCTTCTCTCGTCGAGAATAAAGGGATAGACGCCCAAGATAAATGAATATAACACGCAGACAAAACTAATTTAATACTTTCCTGTAGTTTGAAGTCAGAAACTTATATAACGTGAATAAAGAAGAAGCGCTGACGGTTGCCGAATCGTTAGGAATGTCGGGTACACTTTTTTTATAGTTTTAAAACAGGCCCACGGTGCGTTTAGCTGAAAGACATATTTATTATTTACCCTTGGAACGCTTAGTGTATCGGCAGGGTTCAAAGATCATATCATCGAGGATAACTGAGATCGCCTGGACTGCCCTCGCAAGTTGAAGAAGCTGCAAGATAACTCTCATACTCAATACCAGCGGCACCATGACAGCTCACTACAATACACTATAGAGGCGGCGTATTACACAGAGTTTTCACATGCTTTGTGCATTACTGCGTAGGTAAAGTATGTAGTCGATGGACATGCGTACACATTGTTGTTGTTTTTTACGACATACCACTGAACAACGAACGTTACCTAGAGTTTTCTAAAAGAGCTTCATTACGTGCATATATCAATTTACTTTTATATGTTCTGAGATTCCGGGTTCACAAAATAAAATATTTGCTTTATACGCTGGTCGAAGCAAAATATACATCTGTATATACTGTTACAGGTGCAATAATTATTTGTTTATCTCTCTGAGACGTATACGAATATATTTAAAATGCCATTACTAATCCGCGCTACTTACTTCTATCTCTAAGGAGAACAGTTGGTTCCCTTGTCTACAAAAACAAGACACTGTTCATCGTGCATGGGTGCGGATGCCGATCGCGCAACGCGAGCAATTAATTATAATTATTCGACGATGCATTTACGCACTAACAATATACCTGAACTCGCCATTCTTGTCACACCCAAATGAAATAAATACATGTGCAACCGCGCGCACCTGTATGCTGCCTTGTCTATTTCTTTCAGTCCGACTAACAAGCCATCACTTAGAAATATGTCACATCGACACCTTGACGCTGGTCTTTATGGTCGTAAGCCGCAACGACCGGCGTGAGAAAAATACTCTGTGGGCGAAAAGTAAAAATAAAATAGAAAATATACACCGTCGTTGTTGATTTCTCAAAGACTGGTCTAAGCTACAAGGTTGGTTGATATGTTGAGTTTAACGTCCCAAAACTACCATATGATTATGAGAGACGCCGTAGTGGAAGGCTCCGGAAATTTTGACCACCTGGGATTCTTTAACGTGCACCCAAATCTGAGCACACAAGCCTACAACATTGCCGCCTCCATTGGCAATGCAGGCGCCGCAGCCGGGATTGGATCCTGCGACCTGCGGGTCAGCAGCCGAGTACCTTAGCCACTAGACCACCGCGGTGGGGCAAGCTACAAGGTTGAAAGCCCAGTTAGCGAAAAATAATTATGTGCGCGCTTTACTGATTCCATAAGTATCAAAATATAAGTCACTTCTACATTCTCTAATAAACACATGAGGCGTGATTCTGTGCCACCACCTCAGTCCCCTGAGTCTGACGATATCGTAAGCTACGATATGCTCGCCCATTGACTGATAAGGCCCTGCCATCGACCTATGTATTACGGCAGATTTCGTTTATTCATTTCGACATTTAGGAATTTATTTCACAAGCGAGGTGCTCTAGTTTCGGTAATCTTGAGCACAAAATCAAAGCGTTGAGTAAATTCCCATTTTCGTGATATCAGCGTCAATATATTGCTGATTGGCAGCCGCTATTGTCGCTGTGTTAGGCGTACAGGAAAAACCCTTGCTTTGAGAAAGCCTTAAGATGTCGCCGGTGCTCCTCTGGCAGTCTGCAACCACCGTGGTATTCGCAAGGAGGATACAAAAAACCATGTATCCTCCTTGGGTATTCGCAACTCCAGTCGAAAAAGCAAAGATGGCTACGCTTAACAGTGTCAATGCGGCATTATTGCTTGGCGCTGAGCTGAAGTCTCTGGTTTGTGGCCGGATCGCGCTCCTTCATGGAAGGTGAAATGGTGCCGGCAAATCAAGCGGATCGAGTCATAAACACCATATGTTTGTTCATAATAAATATATTTCAAGTTTTACGACTGCAGTTATGTAGCAAGAATTTTTTTTATCAGGTTCGCCCATCTTTTATAAATATTCGCGCCCTTTTTTGCGTGTGTATATACACACAAGCGAAATCAAAAATTTTCGGAGCGAAGGATTACACCAGCTTAATTTGAGAATGCATAGAACAACGATTTGGGCAGAAAACAAGTGAACGCGAAAAATACACTCACACATAATACAACTAATTTTTCTAAAGCCCTTGCTTATATAAAACGAAGATATACTCCGTGCTTAGAGAAGCCCCAACATTGACAAGAATGCACGCACACTAAATAATGGTGTACTCACCAGGAAGAATGAAGTCGTCACGAGCGAACTGACTACAACTAACCACAATAGTGTCTGTCACCTTCTTTTCAAAGCGTTAGTTTCTGATTTGCGCCATTCTCGGTCACGCGTCACCCACATCCTATGGGAGATAATGTAACGATACGTTGCCATCTTTTCAGCGCAATGCCACGCTCTGCGGTTCACTGCTATGGTATTTCGACATCGATTTCTTCTTTTGCGGGCTCGCACGTGGGGCATAGCGAAAATAAGGAAACTATGTGGCTACTTCTTAACGCACTCAACGTGGCTACATATCTGCTTTCAAAATTGGCCCTGTTAGCGCCATTTTCAGGCGCGGCTGGTAGCGAGTGCTCAGTTGTAATCGCGAATAGCTTGGATAATAAGGTGTTGCGTGCCCCGCCGCGGTGGTCTAGTGGCTAAGGTACTCGGCTGCTGACCCGCAGGGCGCGGGTTCGAATCCCGGCTGCGGCGGCTGCATTTCCGATGGAGGCGGAAATGTTGTAGGCCCGTGTGCTCAGATTTGGGTGCACGTTAAAGAACCCCAGGTGGTCGAAATTTCCGTAGCCCTCCACTACGGCGTCTCTCATAATCATCAGTGGTTTTGGGACGTTAAACCCCACATATCAATCAATCAATAAGGTGTTGCGCTGCTAAACTGTACGTTACGAGTTCGATTCCCGGGAACTGTGGCAGCATTTCGATGGGGCCGAATTACTAGAACAAACGTGTGCTTAGATTTAGGTGTACGTTAAAAAACCCCAGGTAGTCGTACTAATTCCGGGGTCACCTACTATACGGCGTGACCCATAATCATGTCGTGCATTTGACACGTCAAATTTCTGCAACTTTTAGTGTTGATCCGACGGAGACAGCTATACGCTTCTTGCGCCACGCTTGTTTGTCGCGTGATTTTTCGTCCGCGTGGAACTGGTATTACGGTGCAGGTATTTCAGAGATCTAAGTGAATCATCATCATCATCAGCAGCAGCCTGACTATAACCGTCCACTGCAAGACAAAGGGCCTCTCCCATGTTCCGCCAGTCAACTCAGTCATGTGCTTGCTGCTGCCATTTTATGCCCGCACACTTCCTAATCTCATCTGCCCACCTGACTTTCTGTCTCCCCATCACCCGCTTGCCTTCTCTTGGAATCCAGTCTGTGATCCTTAATGAACACCGGTTATCTTGCCTTCGCGCTACGTCCTCTGCCCATGACCATTTCTTCTTTTTGATTTCGACAATACGATTTCGTTGACACCCGCTTCTTCCCTGCTACACTGTGCTCTCTTTTTGTCCCCATCGTTTTCCTTTCCATTGCTAGCTTCGTCGTCCTCGCCCCGCCGCGGTGGTCTAGTGGCTAAAGTACTCGACTGCTGACCCGCAGGTCGTGGGTTCAAATCCCGGCTGCGGCGGCTGCATTTCCGATGGAGGCGGAAATGTTGTAGGCCCGTGTGCTCAGATTTGGGTGCACGTTAAAGAACCCCAGGTGGTCGAAATTTCCGGAGCCCTCCACTACGGCGTCTCTCATAATCATATGGCGGTTTTGGGACGTTAAACCCCACATACCAATCAATCAATCGTCGTCCTCAACCTAATAAGAACCCTCCTTGTAATCCTCTAGGTTTCTCCTCTGTACGTAAGTACCGGTGAGATGCAGCTGCTATACATCTTTCTCTTCAGGGATAATGGCAATATACCATTCATGATTTGAGAATGCTTGCTGAATGTGCTACACTCCATTTTTATTTTTCTAGTTACTTCAACTTCGTGGTTCGGCTCCGCGGTTACTACCTATCCTAAGAAGACGTGCTGTTTTACAACTTGAAGTGCACTGCTACCTATCACGAAGCGCTGTTCTCTTACGAGATTGTTGTGCATTACTTTCGTTTTCTGCAGATTGATTTTGAGAACTACTTATCTGTTCTTCTTGTCCACTTCAGTAATCATGAATTGCAATTCGTCCCCTGCGTTACTCAGCAATGCAATGTCATCTGTGAAGTGCAGATTATTAAGGTACTCTTCATTTAACTCATATCCCTAACTTTTCCCATTCTAGGTCTTTGAAGACTTCCTGTAGGCACGTGGTTAATATCATTGGGGAGATCGTACCCCTTGGTATTTTTCGTTTATTGTATTCTGTTTATTGGTATTCTGTTGCGTTCCTTATGAAGCACTATGGTAGCAGTTGATCCCCTGTATATTTCTTCCAGGATGTTTACATATGCTTCGTCGACGCCCCTGATTCCACAGGGTCACCATGACTGCTGATATCTCTACGGAATCAAATGCCTTCTCGTAATCTATGAAGGCTATGTATAGTGGTTGGGTGTATTCTGAGCATTTATCACCTGATTGATAGTGCGAATGTGGTCAATAGTTGGGTAGCCTGTCCGAAATCTTGCTTCATCCTTTGGTTGATTGAATTCTGTTTTCTTAATTCTGTTAGCAATTACCTTTGCAAAGTGCTTGTATACGACGGAGAGCAAGCTGATCAGCCCTTAATTTTTTAAGTTCTTGTCATCCCCTTTCTTATGAATTAAGATGTTGTTAGCATTCTTCCAAGATGCTGGTACCCTCCCTGTGAGGAGACACTTCGTATACAGGGTGACCAGTTTTCTAACACAATTTATGCTCCATATTTCAGCAGACCTGATGTTATCTGATCTTCACCAGCAACTTTGCCTCTTTGCATTCCCTCCAAGGCTTTCCTGACTTCTGTCATTACTGGTGGGATGTCACCTGGGGTATGGTCGTGGTTGTCCCGGTTACCATACGGATCTCTGTAAAATTCCCCCGCTACTTTAACTATTATCTCTATATTGGTTTTTACCAACTTTGTCCTTTAGTCTGTATTTCTGGTTTTTGCCTATCCTATGTTTCCTCCTTATGGCTTTGACGCTTCCTTTGTTCTTTAGAGCATGTTCAACTCTCCATCGTGACCCTTTTTACATTGCATACCTTAAGCTTATTATTCAACTTCGAAAGCTCTGTCAGTTCTTTTTTTTTATTTCAGGCTTTCATGCTTTGACGTTTATTTACGAGGTTCTTCGTCTCCTGGGACAGCTTGCTAGTGTGCTGTCTAAGTACCATACCTCCAACTTCCACTGCACACTCTGTAATGATATCATGAGATCATCATTCATTGAAGAAACCGGCTAAGGCCGGTTTCCTCAATAAGATCCTTGTATCTGTTATGAAGCGAGACTCTGAATTCATGTACTTTCCCTCTCATTGCAAGCTCATTGATTGGCTTCTTACGCAGTTCATGTCATTCCTTCTTCAAGTCTAGGAGAATTCAAGACCTTACTATTCTGTATTCACTGCCGCGTACCTTGCCAAGCACTTCCACATCCTGCACTGTACCTGGGTGCCTTAGTGAATATAGGTTCAGTAATGCCCGACTTTTATTATGGGCCTGAAAAATGTAACGATTCTGTTTGAAATTTCACCCCATGTGGCACTTCGCAATCTTTTCGAGAGGGGCCCCTCTCTCGATGTCAGGAGGATTGGCAGTCCATGAACAGTGGAAG